AAGGGAGCCTGGTGCGTGTGTAATATAAGGAAGTTAATGTTTGTTGGCTGAAGTCATAGCTGAGTTTTGTTCTGTCACCTACTGGCTGTGATTGCTTTTCTTCTGTGAACCATGGTTTTTCTCATCCTAAAAATGGTAGGCAGCCTCAATATTTCAGCACATTTTATTTTAATAATATAATCCATATGTTTCATACTTTGTCAGTGAGATAGTACTTATCAGATTCAAAACATTTGCTGCATATGATTCTGGTATATGAAAGTATCTACTATGAAGAAATGTACTGTAGTAAGTCTTTGGAATAGGTACCCATGTGTGTGCATCTGCATAACAATGCATCGGTATGTGCCAGTCCTGGGGTTTGAACTCAGAGCCTGGGAATTGTTCATTAGTTTATTTGCTCAAAGCTAATACTCTAGCACTTGAACCACAGCTCTTCTTCCAGGTTTTTGATAATTATTTGGTGATGAGAGTCTCATAATCTTTCCTGCCTAGGCTGGCTTTGAACCATGACCCTCAAAATAAACCTCTTGAGTAGATAGGATTACCAGGAACCAACTAAATGCATATTTTGAGTTAAAAACATGTAATGGGAAAAAATGAGAAAATGTTTAGGACTGAGTCTATCCAAGAACTAAGGTATATGTTCAAATAGGATATTATTAAATAACATGTTTTCATAGGTTCTATGGTTTCCCTTATATATCTAGGATAATCTTTTCAGATGAACAGAGTAGTTCAATAGCTATGTACATATGACCATATAAGATGATTCTAAGCAAAAGGAACTCCAAGATGTGAACACAAGAGGTTTATCTTTGTTGTTGATTTTAATGTACTATGTGATTTTTTTGTTTCTTTTGTATGTTCTTCCCCCTATCATATATCCCCTGTTGTCATTGTATTTGATTTTGGTACCCTAGTATTGTATATATTCTTATCTGAATTAGGGAATGGAAGGGTAACAACAGAATGGTGAGACAAAAGACAAAGGGGGAACCAATGAAACACTGATACTCACAAGACAATATGCTGGATATGTTCTGTACATAATAGAAGGATTTTTTTTTGATAGGAGAGAGAAAGAGGGAGAAAAATGAGGGAGGGGATAATAAGTTCAACTAGAAATGTATTCACTGCCTTACTTATGCAAATGTAACCCCTCTGTATATCACCTTGACAATATTTTTTAAATAGCATGTCTTTAAAATAGTAAAAGTAAGCATTAATAAATTCATAAACCTATAAAAAAGGAAAATTTAGGCTGAAAACTCGAATCAAAAATACATGAAATAAACAATTAACTCATCTGAGTCCAGCCACACATTAGATAGTATTTGTGAAGTTGCTTAGATACCAGTAAAGAATAAGAATGTAAGAAACAGAAATAAAACTGAAGAAGCACATAATGGTGGTGATCTTTGGCACAATGTTAACCAGCTTCCTATTTGTGTAATTGGAGTTTTAAGAGATGCTAGTGATAATGGATCTGATGGCATGGTCACAGCAAAATTATGTCACAAAATAATGACATAAAATAGCCATTTAGGAAGAGTATCAGAGAAGCTTGAAGCAATTTCCTACCCCTGTCCTTCCAGAAAAGAAAATCAGACTTGAAACAACATGGAAACACCAATGAAAGATAACTAAAGATGAAGAGAATATGTTGGAATCAAACATGCTTCTACTTTTAGAAGGCCTTTGTATATTGGGACAATGGTATGGAAAAAACCTCACTTCATGTTCATGTAACATAAACTGAAGATAAGAGATAATAATGGAGCAGATTGTACAGCTGCTGGTAGCAAGTGATACATCCAGAATCCCGTTTTTTTGTATGTGCCTTTTTTTAAGTATCTTTCCATTGAAATAAAATACAGGAAGTTTCTTAAGAGAAATTTGAGAACAACCTGAAGAATGACAACTTCTGTAGACTGTTCCAAAGTATAGTAAATTTCAGTCCATATAAGAAAACTAGAGAGGCTGGGAAGGTGGCTCAGTGGTAGAGCGCTTACCTTGCATGCATGAGGCCCTGGGTTTGATTCTTCAGCACCACATAAGCAAAAAGAAAAAAGCCGGAAGTGGTGCTGTGGCTCAAGTGGTAGAGCGCTAGCCTTGAACTGTGCTGTGCCCAGAGTTCAGGCCCCACAACCGGACCCAAAAAAAAAAAAAAAAAAGAAAACTAGAATCCACAAGGCAGAATACACAACACTGAAGTGAAAAATATGTGCACAAACAAAAAGATCATTACAAATGCTTTAGAAATATACTTCATATGACCATGTAAAATCAGACAATATTTTAAAGTTTTCATAATATACAATAGTCAAAACATGTAAGGCCTGGGTTTAATCCCCAGCACCAAAACAAAGCCAAAACAACAGCATACAAAATATAAATCTAATACAAATAAGTACCTTATGACAGCACAATAAGAAAGGTATGGAGGGGAATACCCTATTTTGAATTTTTTTTTATTTGCCGGTCATGGGACCTGAATTCTGGGCCTGGGCACTGTCCCTCAGCTCTTCAGGTCAAGGCTAGTGCTCTACCACTTGAGCCACAGAGCCACTACCGGCTTTTTCTGCTTATGTGGTGCTGAGGAATCGAACCTATGGCCTCATGCATGTAAGGCAAACACTCTACCACTGAGCCACAGCTTTGAATAATAAGAATAAAGTGGGAAACTGATTTGGAAAGAGAAGTTTGGGGAAGGAAGAGATGTTAGCCTTTAAGTGGAGAGACTCCAGGACCAACTCTCTGTGGACGATTACAACAAATTCATCACATCTTTCAGTACTAGACTAAGCTAACTTAGGACAGGGAGGTTAATTTTATTATGATCAAAGAGTCAAGTTAGGAATGCAAAATCTAAAATGTCCATAGAAGTAATAATATAGTTATAAAATATTAAAAAGGAACTTATAATGAAATAGATAAGACCCTTATTATAGTTGGAGTTCTTAGCAGCCACCCACTCAATACTTGAAGCAAGTAGACACACTATTAACATCTTGTGTGAATTAATTTACAGAACTCATAATATAAAATAATAGAAGAACTCACATTGTTTCCAATGGGGCATTACATGTTTGTATAGATTGATCATGTACAGGGTCAAAAAGTAAATGTTAGTACATCTCAAAGGTATAAATATTGTATGGCACAATCTCTTTCTATAAATGAACTAAATTAAAAATACACAACAATAATGTATCTAGAAACATCCCAAATACTGTAAGTTACAAAGATGATTACTAAACAACCCTCAGGCAAAATAAAATTCAAAGAAAAGTGGAAAACTTTTAAAAAATTTAAGCATAATGAATTACAATCTCAATAGCAATAACCTTAGCTGGTATTGTACATGGGAAGAAATAGTGTCATAGAAGCAATTTCATTGAATGATATCCGTTACCTTGCTAGTTCCTTAAAGAATGTGCAATTGGCTACTTGGGAACACATGGTCAGAAATACTTCTGTTTGGACAGTAGACATAATGAGTGAAACCTGAGAAGAAAAACTGAGGTATTTCTAGATAAAGTGAAGGAAGCCAGTGTAATCTTTTTGAGGAACACACTAATAAGTCTTTGATATTTTGCTGAATGATTTTTATTTGATGACATAAAGAAGCTAACAACATCCTGAAAAAGTCTTGTTAGGTTGAATGTAATGAAAGTGCAGTTGGTACTCTTACCCAGAGGAACACAGTATTCCACAGAGCTCGCTGTTCCCTTTGCTCTGCAGGCAGTCTCAGAACGCTGCTTTTGGGAACACTGTCCTGAATCTTAAACATCACTGTGCCTCATCTCTACATGGGGCTAGGCCAAAAAAGTTCAAGACGAGAAATCTGAAGTATGGTATCTACTAATAAATACTAGTTGTACATTGTTGTAAAGTTGAAAAGCCTTAGTTAAACAAGCTTTAAAAAGAAAAAAAATCTCTTCTGGCCCTCAGGATGCAAGATCACAACATTGATAACTCGGGAGTGAAATTAGGATGCTTTGTAAAATCACTGTCTAATGTCAGCCTTAAGACTTGGCAAGTGGAGAAAAAGCTTAGGTAAAGGCGATGACCCTCAGAGGTTCTGTCAAATAGGTTAGTTTAAAACTCTGCACAAACATTTCCGGGGGAAAATCGTGAGAATAGACAGCGTTCTCTGCTTTAGTAATAATGAGGGGCAAATTCCATCTCCATTTAACACAATCACCGACAGGAGCAGATAGATAGATAGGTAGATAGGTAGATAGATAGATAGATAGATAGATAGATAGATAGATAGATAGATAGATAGATAGATAGATAGATAGATAGATAGATAGATAGATAGATAGATA